CCTTCCCGGGGCCCCGTGGGAAAAAACACACACACACACACATACACACACACTGTGGACAAAAAAAAACACACCCTGTGGGAAAAAACACACAAACACACACACACACAAAACACAAACACACACACACACACACACACACTGTGTGTGTGTGTGTGTTTTCCCTCAGTGTGTGTTTCTTGTTGCGTGTGTGTTTTCCCGCAGAGCCTGCAGGCCAGGGGCTCCTCGCCAAAAGCCCGCCCAGAGAGGAACAAAAACGAAGGGTGTGGGGCGTCTCGGCCCTACGGCTGCAGCTTTCTCGGGCGCGCCAGCGTCCCGGTCCATCAAAGCCTCCCTTGGTGATGCCCTGGCTGATCATTTTACGATCGGACCGAGGTATAAGATCGAGGTCGGTTCGGGGAGGGTGCCCTCATCCATGTGTTGCGTGCTTGCTGGCTGCTCTTGTGCATCCTGGGGAGCTTACCCTTGGATGTTTTGTGTGTGTGCCTGTGTGTGTGTTGGCCAGCGGAGGCTCTCATGTTCTTGGAGGATGTTCTTGTGTCTTAGTTGTGACGGTGCGCTGTGGAGCGGATGCGGCGGGCTTGCTGCGGGAGGAGTTGCAGCATTTTTGTTTCAGCGTGCGTTGGCAGAGAAACACTGTTTACGGTGGGGCATCTTTCTTTGCACGGTGCCGACGTCATTGGTGGTTGAGATGCCGAGTATGGAGTGGGAAGTGGATATACCGTTTTCTGCGACATTCAGAAGCCAGGCGAAGGCTGGCAAACCCGTGGTTGCTAAAACGGAGCTCCTGAAAATTGCTTTGTTCTTCCGGGAAGCAGCCCGTTTACTATTTAGTGCGCTGAGTTATATTACGGGAATTCGTTTTTTTCTTCCAGGAAAACCGTTTTAGCAGCCACGGATTTGCCAGCCCTCGCCCAGCTTCCGAGATATCGAATGCAAGTGAGCAGCAGCAGCAGCAGCAGCAGCAGCAGCAGCAGTTGCATTGGGCAGGCTGCAGGGCACGTTCCACGCTTTGTGTGTTTCCCCCCGTGCTGCGGCCGTGCGCGTGCGGGAGCGCGCCCGGGCTGCAAGATAGAGAGGGTCGGAGGAGGAGGACGAGGAGGACGAGGAGGAGGCCGAGGAGGAGGACGAGGACGAGGAGGAGGACGAGGAGGAGGAGGAGGAGGAGGAGGAGGAGGTGCAGGTGGAGAATCCACGTGCCGTGCGCGCGAATTCGGCTTCATAGCACAACGACCCACTAAGAACACACACATGCCTGCGTCACGGGCAGCGCTCCCTGGCGTCCCAGCCCCTGGCCAGCACCTCAAGATCGGCGCCCGACGGCCCCCAATCATGTGCCTGTCAGTGCTCCCCCTGCTGGCCTACTGCTTGCTGCGCAAGTCAGGGTTTCGGCTCGTGTGTTTCATGTGCGCAGTTTCTCACACGTACCGTCGTACACGCCCCTGATAGATTGTGTGTTGGCAAGTTGAGTTCCGATCCCGTCCTCGACAACACAAGTCGCCGAGTTTCGTCTCCAAACCGGGCAGTTTTGACCATTGAGCGGCCCCTGTCGGCGCAGGATTTCCGCAAGAGGCTCACAGACCGCGCCGAGATCATCCAGCGCCGCCTTGAGGAGGACCCCGCTGCTGCGCATATCCCGCACAGCCTGACGGGAATTGTCGATTGGGACCTCCTCCTCCTCCTCCCCCTCCTCCTCCTCCTCCTCTTCCTCCTCTTCCTCCTCCCAGCAGTGGAGCAGCCTGGCAGCACACTGTGGCGGCGCAGTGCTGTCTCAAACGATGCTGGCCGGTGGTGCCGCACGCAGCGACGCCGAGAGAGGCCCAGGTGCGGAGGAGTTGCCGCCGGCCTCCCCCTCCTCACCGTCCGTGCGGGCGCTGGGCTGGCCAGGGAGCGCTGCTGCGGCCGCGGTGGGCCGGTGGCAGACGGGCACGGCCTCTCGACACTCCCAGGTTTAAGTCGGGCCTGCCCCTCCACAGGAGGAAGATGCAAAAGTAGTAGAGAAATAGTCTGGGGACTAGTTTTGGAGTATTGTTGACCATGTTTTGATGTTTTCTTAACTGATTTTTAGCTTTCGTCGAAAATCCCCCTGTATAGGGGGACACGCCCGACTCAATCCTGGCTCCCGCTCTCCATGTCTGCAGGGCGCCGGAAACCTCTGCGTCCCAATGTGGCCGCCACGGCTGCCCCGTTCGCCGGCGGAGGCGGGCCCGGGGCGGCGCTGTGCCAAGCGCCTCCTGGTCGGGCGGGCGGCAGCGGGGGGGGGGCAGCGAACTTGGGGGGGATCGAGTCTTGCAGGACACTGGCCCCAGAGGGGTCTGAAGCTGCCCCCAGAAGCTCGCCGCCGCCGGCCCCGAAACTGTGAACGAGAGGTGCCCCCCTGGGGTTCCCATGCGAGCGAGCGCCCCGCGGCGGAGGAGTTTTGGAATGGCGCTCTGATTCGCCCAGGGGGCGGTCAGCTGAAGGTGCGGCACGCACTAGCTGCCGGCAGAAGCACGCGGTCTCTAGCAACAGGGGGCGCCAAGGTGTGAATGCTCCGCCCGGCCTGACCCATACCACCCCCCACCCTTCTTGTCACAAGGCGCACAGGGCGCAACGCAACGCTGCAGTAGTAGGCGGAGGGGGGAGGCAGCACGTTCCCAGTTGCTCCGGCGGCCCGGGCCGGGCCTGCAGGCGCGCCTGCAGGGTGGCGCGCCATGCCTCCGCCGCCCCCCTCGGCGCCCGCAGCCGGCGTCAGCAGCAGCAGCAGCAGCAGCAGCACGGCCGCCCGCTGGTGCGCGGGAGGTGCACGCTTCGTCACCTCGTGTTCTTTCGTTCCCCCTAAAAGAGCATTGGAAACGTCAGGGGGCTGTTGTTTTGTCTTTGTTTTGCCGTGTACTGTCTGGTTCCATGCGTGCACTCTTGTCGTTTTGCCGTCTGAGTCTTGCCGTCCTTCTGCTCGATGCACGTAGACATTCATCGTACCGCGACCAAATCGGCGCCTGCAGACTTTGACGGAGGCGGGCGACGCAATAGCAGCAAGTTTTGAACATGAGAGATACAGCTGCGCCTCATCCTCCCTCCTGGTCGTCCTCCCCCTCCTCCTCGTCCTCCTCCCACTCCTCCTCCTCCTCGTCCTCCCTCCTCGTCCTCATGCTTCTCCTCCTCCTTCTCCTCCCTCTCCTCTTCCTCCTCCATCTCCTCCTCCTCCTCCTCCTCCTCCTCCTCCTTCTCCTCCTCCCCTCTTCCTCGTCCTCCTTCACCTCCCCGCGTGAGGTTTGGAGATTACGAGCGCGTCACTCCTCGACCTAACCCTCGGTGCGTTTCGCGCGGCGGGGAAGGGTGCGACAATTCAAAGCCCCCATCCGAGCCCGAAGGCATAGCAGAGGGTGGGTGAAGGATGAAGTGGAGGAGGGGTGAGAGGGGGAGGGAATCTTTTGCGTCTACTGCGAGTCCCCAGCTTTCCCGCCGGGCCAGCGCCCGATAGGCGAGTTGCGGACTTCGCGGCTTCTCGCCAGTGGCCCCAAGGGTGGCCCTTGGAGGGCCAACGTTGGAATCCGTGAAATCGGCGGGCGTCGTCATCGTCATGCGCGACCGTTTTGGCTCAAACATCGCACAGCCCAGCTCAGCCCAACCACCCCTCTTTGGGATCCTGCAGAGGATGGCGAAGCGGGATCTCGCCTGCTTGTGTCCTCTTCCGGTCGCCTCCACCCTCCTCGTGACTTCCGCCTTTGCCCCCCCCCTCCGGTTCCTCCTACAGGAGGACGCCCCGATGCCAGCCGCAGGTCCAGCGAGAGAGCCTCCACATCGTCGTCCTCCTCCTTTTTGTTCCGCCCCCTTCCCTCTTCCTCCTCCCCTCCTCCTCCTCTTCCTCCTCCTCCTCCTCCTCCTCCTCCTCCTCTTCCCTCCTGTTTCATTTCCTCTTCCCTCCTCCTCCTGTTCAGCCTGCTCCTGCTCCGCCGCCGTCTCCTCCTCCTCCTCCTCCTCCTCCTCCACATCGTCCTCTTCTGTCTCCTCCCCCTCCTGCCCCTCTCCCCTCGCAGGAGCAGGACCAGCTGCGGAAGAGGCGCGCGCAGATGCAGCGCCGCGGCGACAACGTCGAGAAGGACGACCGCGAGTTCGACAACTACCGGAGCCTGGAGCCCACCGGGGGCCGGGACGGGGCCCTACAGTTCAGTCAGGCATGTCCCTCTACAGGAGGAAAATTCAAATATAGTAAAAACAAAAATAGTCTCGGGACGATTGTTCGACTACCTTGTTGGCTCTTTTTGGAGTTCTTTGGCTATGGTTTTTTCTTCCAAAATCCCCGCCTGTAGGAGGACATGCCCGACCTAACCCCACAGTCGGAACTGATGCAATTACCCCGCACAGTGAGGATGAGCGATTTTCCAAGGTGACTCTTGCATGCTTCCCCTTCGGTCCATCCTTGGTCGCTTTCGCTGGCCGCGCCCCGCTCGCACAGTGCCGGCACGGCCTTCTGAGGGCCTTGCATCCTTAATTACCGTGCGTCCTTGTTAGACGGGTTGAAGAGGAAGGATGGGTCACTTTCCCAAGGGTACCCGTTCATCCTTACCTCCTCGGCACATCGTCACCATTGTCGATGGCCAGCCCCTCCCGGAAAGCCTCGACATGCGCGTCCCAGGGGCTTGCGTCCTTATCGCGCATCCTTGCAATCGGTGCTGACTGTACGGACAGGAATCAGGAGGGGAAAAAACACACAGACACAATGAATCGTCCGCTCCCAGGGAAATTTGGGAAAATATGGGAAGTGGGGGGGAAGATGAAAACCTAGAACATATGGGAAAATACGGGGAATCCTTTTATTTGTGTGTATCTATTTGTGTGTCCCAGGGCCCCTTCGAGGAAGTGGAGCACCAGCGGAACCCTCCCTGTTTGAGGCTCTCTTGCCTGGCTGGTGCTCCGCAGCTCCAGCGCGTCTCGCCGGCTCTTGCCGAGCACGTCGGCGACCGCCCCTCGCTGCGGACTGCAGAGTTTTTGAGGTTCCCGCCCTCGAGGCCCCAGCC